GTTGTGGAATCGATCAGAAAAGGTTGATCATCTAGCATCTAGCATCTGCAAGGTTCTGGAATCATTAAAATGATAAGAAATTTGGCCTATTCTTCGTAAAGTTACAAGCACTATACACAGAAAGATGTATATGGGACTACCCTATATCTCTCACAGACCATGAGAGAAACAAATTTACCAAATATGTGAATTAGTAGGCGGTTTCCCGGCAAATTTTGTATCATCATGTATTAGTCAAAACATATTCTTTCACATGATTGGTAATGAGAGCTTCCATTGCATTTTTTGAAATTGGGGCGTTTCCAATACTGGTCTTTACCTTTAAAAGAATTAAGTGATGAGCAGACTTCTAGTGCAGGAGGGAGATTTTCCATAGAGAAGGGCCTTTAAAAAAATACTGAGTTATTAAAGTTCTGATTTGATGTAAATGATAATTAGATGAATTACAAGTATTGTGTTGATGTTTTTGTTGAATTAATAAGAAAATATAAGGTATATAGCAGTTTTCTCTACACTTGTATTTAAGTGTTGGCCATGCATATCGTCCCTATTTTCACGAAGTGACGGTAGTGAGGAAAATCGTAACGCAAAGTGAATGCAATTTTTTTCACTACCGTCACTTCGTGAAAACAGCGACGATATGGTGACTGTACATCATGTATACCGGTATGTGTGATTTGCAAACATTTGTGTTTTTTCTTCTTTTTGATTTCAAAGGAATGAGAATGTTTTGTCAATTAGAATTATTCCCTAGTCTGTTGTCTACTGTTATCCACAGTAGCGTTTCACTCTTTAACTGAATGCTATAAACGAAATATAATATCTTGCTTTTAAGGGGGCATTATATTTTTTAGTACATTTGATTAAAGAGGACATTGTATTTTCCTAGTACATTGAATTGTTTCTTTTTTTCTTCATTTTTCTTTTCAATAATCCCGGATTTTACTGTATCAAGGTAGATCACAATGAGCAGCTGCTAATTATGTTCATCTGTGATAAAGATTTATGACAATGTGCTCTTTTTTTTTCTTTCTTGTGGTACAGGACATTGTGAAAGACCTCAGCAAGTACTTCTAAAGGAAAGAAGACTTCAAACACACACTGTGAAGCATTAATGTGAAGGCATGGAGAACAAAACCACAAACCTCTCAAAACTTTATCCTATTGCAAATTCCCACGTACAACATATGGGGTGTTGCAATCAATTGCTAATCCCAGAACTCAAGTGTAAGTCTTCATCCTAACAAAATCCTTGGAAATTTAGGAGACTAGTGGGGTGTTGCAAGAAAGTTGAGTTGCAATCGATTGCAAATATCACTTGCAAATTTTCCATTTTGCAATGGATCGTAACTTTCTTGCAACGCCTCAATAGTCTGTTTGTGCTCAGGTGTAGGTAGTCAAGAGAAATATTCAGACTCATGGCTACCTATTTCAAAACAATTTAGAACCTGGGGGTAGTTTCTTGAGATTAACATAATTCAAACTATGCTCCTATCCCATTGAAACGCATGTTAATTCTATCACATGTTTCTTTGGCATATCCAAGAACTTAGACTTATGATAGTTTCAAGAAAGGGACCCTTTAATGAACTTACCATATTCTTTGTCCATCAGTCTGAAGTGTTGTGACTCTGGTTAACTTTGCTACAACAAGTGTCAAACTTTGGGCACGGAAAAACTTGTGGTGAGAAATTAATTTCCTATGTCTGAGGTACTGTGCAATACTATGCAAAGAAATTCTTTTCATGTTCATGTCCATGCTTTGATCTTTTATACGGTTTACACAAAAAATAAAAATCTGTGTTTAATTAAGAAGAAAATTAAATACCCTTTTTAGCCTGTAAATAAACTTGAAGACTGGTATACACAAAATCAGTCATTTATCTATGGATCCAGAAGTATGTAATCCAGTTGAAATACGGAGATAAAATAAACCTCATAACCATGAATATGACAATTTTAATGGCTTTCCATTTTTTGATGGTTCTCTCTTTTGCCTTCGCATCGATGAACACACATACTAAACTCCAGCATCGGGTCATTTCCACCTTGCTTTCTGTGTATTTTAGACAATCATGATGGCTTGATTCTAAAACCACATACCATGCGGCAGAACGAGCTTGAGCTCTAAGGTCAAAGTTCACAGATGGAAGATGAGAATGCCTTGATTCTTGAATTTTAGTATGTGTCTCTAGTGCCTTTTGGCTATTTCTTATATTGTATGTTAAAAAATTGTTTGCATTTTACCAAAGAATCTGCTCGATACAAGTACATGTACCAGAAAAGGACATTTTAATATGCAATATCTTTTAAGTATCCAAACAATAAACTGCCATTTTCACCAGTTTCTAGTTATCTTGGTATTAAAAACAGTAACAAAACAATTCAACTTTGGAGCTTATTATGAATAACTTCAAAGCACTATCCCTGTAATGTTTGTGTTGTCAGTAGAAAAGAAATTTCTCTTCATTGATACCTTACTTGCAGCTTTGGTTGATTTGGATAACAGAGAACAAATGTTTAGAAATATCTCAGTGTTTATAATATCATAATATGATATTTGCCAGCTTAAGGCAAAAAGTAACCCACATATCTGAATACCATTATGTTAGTGGTATTTGATAAACAGATTAAGAAAAGTACTGGTATTCATATAACAGTGATTTGACTTGTAACACTACATGAAACTGAATGCAGTCATTTTCTTTCATACTGAGCTACATGTACATGTACCAAAGTGGGAATGCTTATGATACACAGTGACATTGCATAGCAATATGTGATGGCACATGACACTTTTTACCATGTAAATGCAATATGTATTGTATGTAAAATGTTTATGTAAAAAAAATAAAAAATAAGAAGAAGTATTTGGGAGAGTTTTAATGCCAAGATTACCAGCAGAGTGTACTGTGCACCATCTCCCTTCTTTGGTTGATGATTCTATGAAGATTTGCCCTTCAACCATTCATAATGGCAGGGTCCAATCTGAAAACGTCTCGTTATCACCAGCCCTTGAAGAATAGTGCACTGTCCACAATGCTTTCAATCAGAGCGGACACTTTCTAGCAAGATTTGTTTTCTGTATAATTTTTGTTTAATTGACAATTGAAATAAAATTGTGGTGCATTATTCACTTTAAGTAATAAAATCAAGGTCAGCAAACAACATATCGTCGCTTTGGGGCCAGAAGGGCATTAACTTGTATTGTTTTACACAGAATTTACATACTTCTGCCTCCAAAAAGAAGCCTTATCCAAAATGATCATGCATCAGCATCATACGAGTTGTATTTTACTATTCAGGAAAATGAATGAAACAACCATTTTTTGTCTGATTTACAGGGATGGGAGTATGTATACTGCCCATTTACCGGTAGCTGTAATTAATGATCTCCATATAACTATTGATAGTACATGCATCTTTGCGATATCTGCCTTTGCTGCATGATTATTTTTAACCAAAGGACATTTGCAGAGTAAATTTTAAAATATCACCAAGTATTTTAATATTGTGTTTTGTTTTTAAGTGCCAGTGCAGTTGATTCAAATATTGTTTGATTAATGATTTGTCTGTATTGATATGAAATCGCTCTCACATCATCCTGATGTTTGTCTGTGTTTAAATTGTGTGACCTGTAATTGATCAGTTGATGTAATTTGTAAGTATTTAAAGATAAGTACAGTTGTATATGAAGTGGAAACAAAGTATTACAGACTGCAGGGCATTCAGAAATTCAATGTACACCTCTTAAAGTTAAAAAAAAAAATCTATGCTAGCATTCATTTATTCAGATGTTTAAAACTGATCATACTACATAGTTTTTAGCTACATCCAAATCAATGCAAATTTCATGTCCTTTTTAAGTTTTATGCCTGTAGAGTGTATCTTTTTTCCACCCTTTATTTCATAGATCTTTTTTTTTTTACCACATCCCCTTTTTACTGATTCTTGGAACCAAGTTTTTCTTAAGACTATCAATTTTTAAATTTTATTACTGTTTTTGAAATGATAATGAACTAGTCGCTAAAGAGTGACGGATATCAGAGGAAAATGTGTGATTCTCATGGAAACAGATGTTTTAAAACACATGTGTAATTGACACAATTTCTTAGCCAATGAATAAGATGTTCATGTATGTATTATCTGTCACAGATGTGGATTGATAAATGCTGTGTGTTTGCCTATTTATGGTTTTAACCATTGATTTATTGTGATTAAATTGAGCTTGAGATCATGTTAATCCAACATCGAAAACAAGTTTATTATTGTTATGTGTGAGTGTTCCAGATTTTAAACCTTTCATATTATTTGGTATTTATTTCAACCTTTTCATCCAGAAGATAGAAGTTGACCTTTAACAAAATGCTTTGTGTAATATAGTTCTGTTTTCAAGATTGGGAAGCTATTTTGCAGAAGAGTAAGAATGTTATTTTACAAGTTTGTTTGAGTGATAGGTGGCAAAATCGATCTGGAAAATTCGGTTAGGAGGATGTAAAAGATATACAAATGTAAAAAACGAAAGAATGTAATGATTTATCAAAAGAAAATTCTACATGTATCATGTAGTAGAAAAAAGAAGAAAAAATCAGGGAAAAAAGTAACCTGAAAGAATGTACAATCCAAACTATTGTGGACCACATTGAAGTTCAACAAATTGTTAGCCTTTCTTTCCGGGTGATATATAGTGGGGCTTGACACATAAATAAAAGGTAGATGCATGGTGATATTACATTTGTTTTTCTTTTATTGCATAGGCCCCTTGTTTAGAAAATAAATCATCTTGTTCGTGTAGGTGTTTTCATTCCTTGAAAATATGTTCTTTGTCTGTAGTTTTAGCCCAACAGTTGATGAAAGAGTTTGTTACAAGGCTTATAAAAGCATCATTTTGAGATGATAATTGTTCACTTCTAATAGGCAGATCGTTGGTAGCTTATTAGTTTAATTCTTTTTTTGGCATCTGTCGGAGCCATTTGGATACTGTTTGTATGTAAAACATTCTTTCATAATTTCATTTTTAGGCAAGAGCAGTATCGTCTAATGCGTTACAATAAATTGTCCATAGATGGAGCTCTTTCCGTCTCATTCTTAGGGTTACATCTATACATTAACGGTTAAATGCTAATACCGGTGGATTATGTTGTCACCCATCCTTGCTCATTGAACTTTGTTCTTTGATGTCCCGAAAAAGTAACTGTGAACGAAGAAATTGATGAAGAGGATTAACAAGGTACCGAAGCCAAACAGACCGAGCCCTAGTCCGATTCGGTCTACCTCGCAGGGGACTCCCCAAAACAGCGCCCCCGCGGCGTACAGGTTGACGAGAAATCCCACCAAGAGCTGGATGATTTGGATTGTGGTGATTGTCATGGCAACGCGTTTTGGTACGGCCACGCCCAGGATGCGGAGAGCGTAGTACGGGTACATGAGAGAATGGATGTACGTGTTGACCATGGCCATGACGAAGACTGTCGGGGAGGCGTAGGCGAAGAGATAGCAGGTACTGAAGTAGGTGAGCACGTGGTGGTACCAATGCAACACGATGAGTTTCGCCTTACGGAGGACCACGAATAAGGTGTCGCCGTACTCCAGAAGTTTGCTGAACGCGAAAAGTAGCAGCCAGAGGCTACCTGTTTGTCCCCTATGAAAGCAATTGCACTCGCAAATCAGACTGTGCAGCGTGGCGCCCCGCTGCGAGAGGATGTAATGCGTAGCGACGTTTAATCGCCACGCGCAGACGATACTGAAAACGGACAAACCAATGTTCCAGAGGGCGAGAGGAAGACGGAGGACGAAGCGAGGGCGATTCTTCATCACTCTCTGAACGGTGAAGATAGTTAAGAGGTAGATAACTGTTGAGATGGTGTAGAGAAGCATACCTTCTTCCCGCATCCATCGTTGCCATGGGATGGGGTCAAAGCTCACTTCTGCTGCAAACGGCTGAACGAGAAGGGTATCCAACAGGGATCCCATCTTAATTCGATTCAGATGATCTACAGCACGTCAACGATTTAGCTTAGTAATCCCCGTCTCCGATTTCTGAAATGAAATAATAATAATAATAATAATAATAGTTCGTTCTTATATAGCACTTTTCAGGACCACAGGCCCTCTCAAAGTGCTTTACAGAGTCATGTACATGCATGATGCACAAAAGCATGCGTGCCTTTAAGAAAACGATACATTTTCATGATTAAAACAGGAGAGAGAGAGATCGGGGAGAAGACGATGACTATACTGTGCCACGGCAATCAAAACTATTTTCATAATACATCATTGGAATGTGAAATGGGGGGGGGGGGGGGTGGGTAAGAATAGGGAATATAGAGCTAAATATCTTTATCCCGATGTAGAATTTGTTTAAGGGGAGAGGATATCACGCTAGTGTCGGATATTGCAGAAACGGTTTTCTTGGTGGAAAACGGAACAACCAACCTCTGCCCGGTGTCTCTTGACAAGTGTCGCCATCACTGTAAACGGGATTGTATTTTTGTGGCTCTTACCTGCAGCTTAAATATTCTGTGGTTGGTTGTTTAATTGGCTACATTTGTACGTTATGTACATTCTGTAGGAGCACTTGTTTAACCAGACGTCATGTGTCCGGACACTTGTGTATCCAGGCAGTTCATTTTAAAGCGATAACTTGAAGATGTTTAAACGCAATATTTCATAAATATTTTAAAACTTTAAAGTTTTGACAGTATTATAAAGAATAAATATTTATGATGGCGTTATTTGATTCATACTTTCGTTAAACCAAAAGGGAAAAGTGGTGGCTTAATTTTTGTTCAGCGTCCGGACACAAAACGCCCTCCCCTGCCCCCGGGGGTTGAACAGGAGTTACGTTTACCCAGAGCAAAGCGCCCCGAGGGGTATTAACTATTATCTTCTTGCTTTTTTTTCTTTAATTTCATGCCAACGTAAAAAGATAGAATTTTTTTCTTCTTACCAATTATGCTGTTTGCTTTAGTTTCCTACGGGTATTCTTCTTGATGTTATTCCTCATAAGTTCCGAGTTACTTTGTTGTCGATGTCTCGTTGTTCAGCAGATGTATTTTGCAGAACATTTTCTCCACTGGCGCCTTGTTTGAGAATCAACCGGAGTTAAGCACTGCATGCATGCACCGCAACACACGCGCTTACGTCACAATCAGCCCTTTACGTCACGATCACAAACATCGCTTACGTCACAATGAAACAATGAAACGATAGAAAATGCGCGTATCGGTACATTTTTGTTCCTTGTTTTCACGAAGTGACGGTAGTGAGGAACATCGTAACGCAAAGTGAATGCAATTTTTTTTCACTACCGTCACTTCGTGAAAACAGCGACGGTTTGATAGTAAATAAAAGAAGAAGAATGTAAAAAAAAATATAGACAGGATTACCTCATGGCTCATCGTTTATTCCATGACAGTATTGAATCGAATGATGAATATCTAGACTTTCTATGTTTTTCTTTCTTCATTTACCATGTCATTCAGGCACATTATTACAACAAGAACGATTTGGAAAATATACTTATCAAACAATAAGCCATACTCAGGATAAAGTCATCATCACAGCCATTGGCACTTTACGAGATAATGTGAACTTAAAACGACTAGCAAAAATAAGATTGTTGCGCTTTGATCAGCCAAAATTCTATCTGTAATTATACGAGAAAAAACAAACAAAAACAAATTGAATGACATAAACAAGAGTGAAAAGAGGGAGAGAGAGAGAGAGAGAGAGAGAGAGAAAAGGGAGAGGGAGAGAGAGGGGTGGGGGAAACTGGAGAGGGCGATGCAAAATGGGATGATACACCCACTTTCACACACTTTAACTTGCTGATAAATATATCTTGCCATCTGGTGACCCATTATACATGATACCAGTCACCACCACCACCACCCCTCCTGGCTGGATCCACGCTTCGCATCTAATTAATATGGGCTTCTCCAGCGACAAACCTTGAACACAAAGAGAAAATGCACTGAACAATATTGGATTATGGTCATAATGGTTGTATATGCTCCGCGGTGACAATTTCCCTGCGGTCACTTTTTTTAAAAACTCTAAGCGAATTCTTAACTTGACTGTATACCTAGCCAAAACTATTGACCTACAACCCTAAAACCATATTGCAAATCCTATCCTGAATAGTACCTTAGACTACACAAAACTATTGCCCTAAGATATTAATTGGTCTTTGTCACCTTCGGCAGCCACATCATAATATAACATATGATATAATTATGAACAGCTTTTCCCGCAGGCCCTGCAATATTTATTATCCAAAGCATTACCCATTTACTACTTCTGGGTCGAAAGGGACAATGTGGGTAAAAAACACACACATTGTCCGAGGATCGAACGCCTGACCCCTCGTATTTGAGTCAAGAACCTTCACCAATATAAAATGGTGTTTCCAAATTGTCGTAGGAGCATATCAGATCACCAGGCTCATCATAATATCCTGAGACTAGTCTACATCTAGAAGATGTGGGTCTCATTCCCTTCGTTTCGTTCAGAATTCGTGACTCGTTGGTTTACCGGATTCCCTTCGATATCATACCCAGCTCGACGTCCGCACCGGCACCCGTTCGTCTTCTTAGCTATCCACTGCCGCAATTTCGTCAGAGCCCAAACCACCGTGTAAATTACAAAATTGGCTACTGTGAGACCGAGCACTGCAATGACGGCGTAGACAGGATTCTCGCCGTAATCAAGAAAAAAGTAAGTGATGCCACTCCCAGTTGCCCAGTAGATTACGCTAAACGTGAGATACATCAATCCATACGTGATGGGATAGACGATGTGTTTATATAAACAGGGCGTGGCGGTGATGGTGAGTTCTATTACGCTGAAGACAGCAGGTAGGAGATGAATGGAGATGTCTGAAACCCATTCGCCGATGTCGGCGTTTTCCCGAAATAAGAATCCCCAGTAAACGATGGCGACGATGAGCGACCACATCACGAGTACGTCGTAGAATATCCATTGTACCGTGTATCGAAGAGCTAGCGCTGTCGAAAATACAACAAAACACAAAACAAAGACATTAATTATGTTCAAGTTTGTGTAAGATTGAATCATTATTTTACTGACAAAATAGACCGGTTTACTAACATATTCAAGTTTCATGTATACTTTTTAAACAAAGGTTTTTCTTCACAACCTGAACGCTTGCCCACGGATTGCCCGACAAAGCAACAAGTAATATTTGCACACTGGATTCCAAGTTTTGTAGTTCATTGATTAATGTAGCTTAATGGAATATTTCGTCACTAGGTCCCCAGGAAAGAAACATCCATGAATAGTAAACCGGTCTATTTGCCCACTGTGTTAAATTTTCAAAGAGAAGTGAATCCTCAGAGTGAATTTTATGTTTGTTTACTCCTGATTGTATAAAGGCAGTTGCATTCCGTTCAAAGATAATTCTCATAATGGAGGATGGGAGGAGAGGGGAGGGGGGCATGGGCGTATGACATTTCCACCATGCAGGGGGATCGACAGGTATTGTAACTTCTTTTTTTTTTATCTGACGTCGTTTGACATTTGAAAAAGTGTTGTCATAACATTAAAATTGTTATCATGTCAAAACTTCGACAGACCGCCTCATTGCCCGATTATGAGGTGGTGGTTGGAAAAAGGGCTACAACCCCCCCCCCCTCCCCGCCTTATACGCCTTTGAGCGGGGGAGGGGGCATCTCAACGAAAAACCTTAATAAAGTAAATACTGTCTTACTTGATGTTTCTTTGATAGGCCTGCCTCTTGCGTCTAATACCACATCAGTGATGAGGTTGCCCGTTGCTACCAGAACATACAAGGCAAGGAGCAGGTAGGTCCAGTTGGTGACGAAGGCGTATGAGTCTGGTCGGAGATACACCAGCCAATCATAAATCTGGAAGCCCCAGGTGTAGATGAATGCAACGAGCCGATAGAAAACGAATAGCCATCGTGGGAGAAGCCACTAAATACAAGAAAGAAAAAATCATTTACAAGATATAATTTTATCAAATAATCGAAATGGTGGCAGAGAGAAAGAGAGAGAGAGAGAGAGAGAGAGAGAGAGAGAGAGAGAGAGAGAGAGAGAGAGAGAGAGAGAGAGAAGGGGGGGGGGGGGGTTGAACAAGATAGAAGTTGCGAGGGCCGTATTGTAAATAATGGCCATCTCTGCAGTACTGGGGCCCGGTCGCTAATTTTTTTCCCAAACAGGTTTGCCAATGCTAATATTTCCGGTCATCTGATTGGCTGATATGTTACTTCATTAGCAATGACGTAACCGTTAGGGTGAGTGATAGGGTTATAGAAATCATGCAGAATCACCTTTCATTAACCCATCGTTGGCTTAATCGGTATAGGTCAGCGTAATACAATCTTAGAGTTGGGGTTCAAGTCTCAGTTTATTCAGTTTTTTTGCCTTTATAAATAGTGAGGCAAAGCAATCAAAAATCAAAGTCTAATTGTTTGTGACCTCTTTCCAAGTTGCTAATGACGTAGAACCAGGCGCGGATCCAGGGGGGGGGGGGCGAGCGTGCCTTGGCCCCCCCCCCCCCCCCCCCGCAAAAAAAAAAAAAAAAAAAAAAGAAGAGAGAGAGAAGGAAAATAAGGGAAAGAGGAGAGAAAGGGAAAAAAAAGAAGAGGAAGAGGAAAAGAAAAGAGGGAAGAAGGAGATCGGGGGGGGGGGGGGGGGGAGGACTTGCCTCCCCCTCCCCCCCCCCAATAAATAAAAGAGAAGGAAGGAAAGGGAAAGAAAAAAGATAAAGAGGAGATAAAGGGAAGAACAAAATAGGAAGAAGAAAAGAAAAGAAGGGGGATATCAGTTGCAATTTTCCCGCCAAAAATATGGATCGAGGGGGGGGCAAAGACCCTAGCCTCCCCCCCCCCGTCCCCGCTAAAAAAAAGAGAGAAGGAAGGAAAAGGAAAAGAGGAGAGCTAAAAGGGAACAAAAAGAGGAAGAAAAAAAAGAAAAGGGAGAAAAGAAGCGGAGATCAGTTGCGGTTAATCCCGCCAACAATGTGTGTCGCTGGTTGGGGACCATAATGATCATGCCCCCCTCCCCCCCCCCCAGCAAACCTAAAAGAGAGATAAGGAAGGGAAGGGAAAGTGAAAAAGGAGAGAAAAGGAAAGGAAAAAAAAGAAAAAGAAGAAAGGTAAGGGATATCAGTTGCAATTTTCCCGCCAACAAGGTGTAGATCGGAGGGGGGGGGGGGCACTGGCATACTGATAGGGGAGGGGGGGGGGGGGGGGTTGGAGAAATAGAATTCAAACGTGGTTTATTTATAATTCCAAAACGGTGGTTAACAAATAATGCTGAAATGAGATAATTTTCCTCACTTCATGCGTTTGTTGGAAAATGACAAATTCCTAAATTTACAGCCAGGCAAGAAAATGCTTCTTGTCAGGGCCCGCGGAACGGCGGGGATCGGGATCCTCGAGCCCCTCCCCCCACACTTTCTTTGAAAAAGTATATTAAAGAGAGATAGAAAGAAAGAGAGCGAGAAAGAAAAAATAGTTAACTGCCAGTGTCACATTATAATGGGGTATCAAAATATGCTCATCTGACCATGATTCAAATTAATGCCTAAAATCCTAAGGGCTCTGCCCCCTGGATTCCACCTAGGGCCCTAAGGCGGGCCCTTAGATGCTCATATGACGGTCATTTAATGCCTAAAACCCCTGATTTCTGGGGGCTCTGCCCCCTGGACCCCACGCCAAATAGTGTCCTGCTAGTGTCACAAATAATAAGGTATCAAAAATGCTCATCTGACCGTAATTAAACGCCTAAAACCCCTGAGCTTCTGGGGGCTCAGCCCCCTGGACCCAACCAAGAGCCCTTAGGCGGGCCCCTCGATACTCATCTGACCGTAATTGAGTGCCTAAAACCCTTGAGATTCCGGGGATCCGCCCCCTGAACCCCAAGCAAATTAGTGACCTGCCATTGTAACTATTAGGTTTCAAAATAATGCTCATCTGATCGTAATTAAATGCCTAAACTCCTGAACTTCCGGGGCTCTGCCCCCTGGACCCCGTCTAGGGCGATAAGGCGGACCCCTGAATGCTAATCTGACCGTAAATTAAAACCTTAAACCCCTGAGCTTCCGGGGCGGACAAGGTATCAACATAATTATGTTCATCTGACAGCAGGCGCGTAGCCAGGGGGCGGTGGGGTGGTCCCCAATAAACGCCGGCCAAAAAAGAGAGGAGTGTAAAGGAAGAGGACGTAGGAAGAAAAGGGAATAGACAAAGAACATTTTTGAAATTCAGACAAGGATTAAGAGTCGAGAACGGTACAACGAATCGTCTTCTTTCTCTAATGAATTAATGAAACGTCAAAGCTTCCGCGCTACGCGCGGTGGAGGGCAGGGGGAACTTAATTCAGACGAGGATAATTTTCGGGAACGGTACAACGAATCGTCTTCTTTCTATAATAATTTAATGAAACGTCGAAGCTTCCGCGCTTCGCGCGGAAGGGGGGGGGGGGGGGGAGGGAATTGATTTAGACAAGGATTAAGAGTCGAGAACGGTACGACGAATCTTCCTCTTTCTCTAATGATTTAATGAAAAGTAAAAGCTTCCGCGCTTCGCGCGGGTGGGGGAAACTAAATTATTTTCGAGAGCGGAACAACGAATCGTCTTCATTCTCTAAAAATTTAATGAACGTCGAAGCGGGGGGAAAACTGAATTTAGACAAGGATTAAGAGTCGAGTACAACGAATCGTCTTCTTTCTTTAATGATTTAATAAAACGTAAAAGCTTCCGCACTTCGCGTGGGAGGGGGAAAACTGAATTTAGGCAAGGATTAAAAGTCATAACGGTACAACGAATCGTCTTCTTTCTCTAATGATTTAATGAAATGTACAAGCTTCCGCGCTTCGCGCGGGAGGGAGGAGGGGGAAAACTGAATTCAGATGAGGATTAAGAGTCAAGAACGGTACAACGAATCGTCTTCTTTCTCTAATGATTTAATGAAACGTAAAAGCTTCCGAGCTTTGCGCGGGAGAGGGGGATGAATTAAGACGAGAATTAAGAGTAAAAAAACTGTACAACGAATCGTCTTCTTTTTCTAATGATTTAATGAAACTAAAAACTTCCGCGCTTCGCTCGGTAGGGGAAAAAACTATTTTCAGACGAGTAGGCACGTACGGAAGGGGGGGGGGGGGAGGGGGTTAGGGGGTTGACCTCCCCCCTTCGGTTTTTATGTGTGTATTTTGGAGCCCCCCCCCCCCCCCCATTTTCTGTGATTTTTTTTTATTTATTTATTTTTTATTTAAAAAATAAAAAAAAATATGCCAATGGCTAACCTAAAAAAGGTGACCTCACCCCCCCCCAACGGAACAATATGTCAAATTTTCAAATTTCGAGACCAAAAAAAAAAAGTGTCCTCTTCATTTTGAATGAATAGCCCTTCTGAATATTCATATAACATATTCCGAATATTGCATTCTCTTCAGGCCAATCAACGAAACGATAAATATAATGTACCGAAAATGGAACATTCTAATTGATGTTGTTACCATAATGGTTACTGTACCTGAGTGCGAGTAAAATCCCTGCAGGATTCCCACCTGAGCCCACACTCAAAGCTAGATTTGTAGCAGCAGGCCACCATCATGTATCCCCTCTCTGTTTTGGCAATTACAAAAATATAATTATGATTGTTCATCTTCAAGAAAGTTGGTTCTCATAACCATGCTTAATCGTAAACACATGCATCACCTTTCCACATAATAATTATAAGACCATGAAGCGAAATCTTTATCATGGTATAACTTCATTAATATGGAGATTTTTTTTTTACTATTAGGCACATTATGGGGAAGTTGGGGTTAGCACCCCCCCCCCCCACTCTAGGACGGAAGGACCGCATGCATGTTCCTAAAATATCTGGCTGGTAACAAAAGAAAAGGTCTTTACACACCGGACTTATGCTGAAAAAGGGGGAGGGGTGCTGGGAACACGCATATGCGTACCCTAAATAATACTGAGTGCAATTTTTTTTTTTTTTTTGGGGGGGGGGGGGGGGGGGGGGGGGGGGGCAAACGTTAGTATGTGACTTGCCTACTAAAATGCCAGTACAACATTTTAAACCCTTTTGTATGTTGTTTGTCAGATATTTCCAAGCTGCTGACACAATCATGTTCCGCATGGTGAAAATAACTTGTTATAGCCCCTTTTCCTAATTATCTTGACCCATGCATAATCCTATGGTGAGGCACACTATAGTATTAATGACTGCTTTGAGAGAAATAGTTGTTTTATTACGCTCAAGGGAAGGTTAGAATTGTGCTATTCCCCGAGGCTTGCCGAGGGGAATAGCCCAATTGTAATCTTCCCGAGAGCGTATGAAAACAACTATTTCTCGAATATTAAAGCAGTCATTAATACTTTTATATGCCGAAAAAAAAATAGACTAAAAAATGAAAAATGAAAAATATTTATCATTTGTCGAAGACGGGATTCGAACCCTTGCGTACAACAAGAGGTGTACCTAAAACCAACGCTTAGACCTCTCGGCTATGGCCCGCCGTTAACATTCTTGGCAGTTTTCTCCAATATATACATTAAAATGGATTGAAACCGGCTTCGCGTGTGATGAATGCTTCGCAAAAGCTCCATATACGGACTCTTCTTTTACTTTTGCAATGCATATTGGCACGAACTTAGATCAAGATCTATCGGCAGATGTTGTTTTTCAGGTGGGCTGTATCTAATACAGACCACCTTATATTTTTGTTAAAATCGTCTTTATTTATTTATTTATTTATTTTTCTTATTTCGACCCACTTTTGTTAGCAAGATAACTTAGAAAAAGCTTAATCAAATAACTTGAAATTTAGCACACATATGTATAGGCATATGGAGAAAACACAGTAAGGTTTTCAACCTTGACCTTGACTGATGACGTCATCTAGGCGCCATTTTGTGAAATTTCTGAAAATAAACTCTTGATCATATCTTCATAACCAAAGGTTATTTCTCATTCATATTTATCATGATCAAGGTCAATATCAGTCCAGTCAATTTCAGGTCAAAAAACGCGCGCGTGCGCGTACGTCCGCGCGTCAATACTCGCGCAAAATTTTTAAATGCTCAAAATCGTCTAAAATTTATTTTGCATACGTTTCAGGTCATTTCAAGCATTTTATAAAAAATCGCTCGTAGGAGCATGCGCGCGCGTTTTCGCGCGTAACACCATTAAAAAACATAGAATCGCCATTCTTTTTCTTTTATGATATTTCTCATATTTTTCAAGAAATTGATTCCATGTTTATCTCTTTATGACCATTATTAACAAGATGAGCGTAAATTCAAGATAAATGTCAGTGCGCGCGAGGTCTTTTAATACATAGCATATATGGGCAAAAACATGCCTATACAAAATCCGTTATAGCTCTTTGGAATGCATCGGGATCCTCAATTTTTTTCATATTAAGATAGAGTATGAGTCGGAAATATGATTCCATGTCTCATTTGGCCATTAAGTGTATCGTGACATCATCACAATGGCCTTGGAACTCAAAATACGAATTTGCATATTATGACGTCAGCATATTTATGTAAAATTGATTGTATCTCTGTAAAATTAATATTGATCAATTTTCTTCAAAATTTCAATATGTTGTAGCTAAGACAATTCTCTACAAGCGCAGTAATAACCATTTTTCATGTTGATGACGTCATCATAGTGAACATTTTGATTAAAGGCCTCATGTCAAAAACTTCATAATTTGCGTGTTATGCCTATAGAAGGTGAATTTAGTTCACGTTATGAATCTACATGATATTGTCTTTTAAGAATTTGTAAGCAGTATGTCGCTTATTTTTGCTCTATTTTGTCTCAAATGTTAATTGACCAGCCCACCTATACTTGTTCCAAACAAGTATTATATGTCTAGTTTGTTTTTGGAAGTTTATTTTCGTCTTCATGTCAACAATGCAAGATAAAATTGTCGGTAAGATCGATCGAGATTCAATTGTATTGAAATTACCGACCAATCCTTCGCACACATACGGCATCCTCCATCGCTCAAACCATTTTTTAACATGTAACCCTAGTGGGGTAACCATGGAGGCTGACCAACTTTTTTTAATAACCATGGTTATTAAAAATATTGAAATGTTTTATGCATGGTTACCGAGAATTTTACAGGAACAGTTGAAGTTTATGAATGCAATTCGACCAATCAGATGGCTGGATTTCTTAAGTGAGGTATATAATACTTACTATAAGGTTAGAATTACGGTTAGTATAGTTGCAATTAGGTTAAGGCCCGGGTAAAATTCGCTCTTGTTTGTCGCCTTTTGGAGAGAAAGCAATATCACACAAGTAAAATGAATGAGTGAAAGAGCCTGATAATTAGTGCGAAGGGGCAGAGGTAGTGCAGAGGTAATGGTATTTTTAAGGGGGTGGGAGAGAAAGAGAGAGTGAGAGAGAGAGAGAGAGAGAGAGAGAGAACAGAGAAGACAGTGAGAGATTTACGGGGGGGGGGGGGGGAGGGGGTTGTATAGAGAAAGGGTGACGGACCGACCGAGAGACTCATTGACATTAGTGATGAAATATGAAATGTATGCTAGAAATTCACTTACTTTAGGAATCAGCTACACACCCGATATTGTAGACCTTCCGAACGCCTTTCTCACCCTGTACTTTTTATCAATACTACTGAATCAAACTACAGTAGACTAGTATTAGATTCGTTGCTGGAAATCAAATCCCCTTTATTCCAAAACCTGCTTGCTTTCCTCCTGGAATGTACAAAATACATGATATTAAAAAAAATACACCATCATGCAGGAAATGAATTCCCAAGTATAGAACTCAAAAGTATTTGCATTATTATGTCAGGCCTTGTTAGTCGATAAAAAGGATTCCCACGCAATGTAGAAACCACGGAGCTACAGTTTGCATTATGTTATGCTTCATTAAATTCATGGAATTGTGAAAATAGTTTTGCTTTGTGTGTGGATTTGACTGTTCTCTGTAAAGAGGACAGCGGTACATGTCCTTTTTGTCTCCTCCAGACCTTATTTGGTCTGAGCAAATATGGCATAAATGTAAACTGAATCCTGTTTAATTGAAAACGAGGGTGGTAGAGATCGATGGTAGGAGAGCATGCGGCCCAACCTCTTGTCCTGGTTTCGGCGCTGCTCAGCAATGGATGCCTTTGTTGAATTTTCATAAAATTCCACCCCCCCGCAAAAGAAGGGAAAAAAGAAAATAAATAATTGAATGTAAAAATGAATGAATTAAAAAGACATAAATGAGTAAATCGCACAAATATGACCTATTTTTTATTCTTGTGAATTGGCTGCTTACTTTACTATAATTTATACTGTGTTAGTCAAAAAAAGGTTTACACCTAGAAAATTTCTAATTATTATAAAACTCATTTATGAACAGTAAATTAGTATACATCTCATGAAAGAGTGTTTTTATCCCAAATCATTTGGTATAATTTTTGTGTGGTATGTGTTTATGCTTCGATGAACAGGAGGCAATGTTTGCGAGAGTGCAAAATTCGACTTGCGCCAGAAAGATGCCTACAGCATGTATTATGCATGTTGGGATTAGTGGAGTGAGAGAATGAATTGAATGTACGTATCAAATGAAAAGCAAAGTCACACACGCACACACACACGCGCACAAATATTTCGTTGATATTTGGTATTCGATATTTAAAATGTGTGGCATGATTAATTTTGTTAGGGATGTTATTTAGATCTGCAAAAAACCGACTTAATACCCAAATCCCAATTGTTTTATTTAAACATCACATTAGCAACTTTGGCGCAAGTCGATTTTTACACTCTCGCAAACAATGCCTGGTGTTCATCCAAGCGTAAACACATACTACACACAAATGATACCAAATGATTTGAGATAAAACACTCTTTCATGAGATGTATAATAATTTACTGTTCATAGATGATTTTAGAATTATTAGCAATTTTCTAGGTGTAAACTTTTTTTGACTCACATGGTACAAATTGAATTTCGCTCGACTTGAATTTTCCAATTTCGTAAATGAGAAATACGCCATCTTTCGGCAGACTCTGATCATTGGATGATTATCATTATTGATAAGGCCTATATTATTTTTTTCATATCCATCGTAGGAAATTGAAAGTAATTTGTGAGTAATAATTTCGAACTCAACCATGAGCAAAATGGTTTGAATGAATTATTTCTGTTAATCTAGCTCAGAGATAGAAAGAGCGGGGAGAGGGGGAGGAGGAGGAGGAGGAGGAGGAGGAGGAGAGAGAGAGAGAGGGGGGGGGGGGAGAGAACTACATACAGAGAGATATGGAGAAAGAGGGAAAGAGGGAAAGAGGGTGGAACCACCCCCTCCCCCACCCCATCCCCCGCTTATTCGGCCGGCCGGCTGAGTCGCCGCTAAATATTTTCTCACGAATTCAGGCCCCCCCCCCCCCCCCCCCCCCCTCGCCGCCGGCTGGATCCGCCCCTGTATATAGCATAGTTCTAAGATGAGATCTGATGATTAGTGAGGTCCTAAGATCGAAGGGCATTAACTCTATAGATGACATTCAGTCTTATTTACCCAGGGGAGCCGCATCAGTATTAATATTGCCCTGTCTACGGGCAGGCGCGGATCCAGGATTTCTTAGGGGAGGGGGCCCAACTTTTTTTGTTTGCTCCCGAAAATTTGAAAATCGTGCCGGTCGAAAAGTCTCTCAGTTCGGGGGGCGGGGGGGGGGGGGGGGGGGTAGGGAGCACATTTTTTCTTTGGTCCTCAAAAATTTAATAATTTGCACCCCCCCCCCCCCTCTTGAGCGCCAAGGGGTTGGGGCCCAACCTCAAAAAAAAGGTAAAAATCACGTGTTTTGACATGATTTTTTTTTTTCAAGGGAGGGGGGGGGGGGTGGGCTGAGCCCCCTCGCCCCCCTGGATCCGCCACTGTCTACGGGCCCTGCATTACTCTAACCCCCAGCGATTACCAGGTACCCATTTTCACTTAAGTGTTGTTGTAGTTGTATTTATTTTCCAATCATATTAAAAAGACAAATAACATATGACATAAAACGAAATGAAACATAACAGAATTAAAAAAAATAAATTACATGTGTATATAGATTGCTTAAAAATGATTGGCTGGATTGCCCGTTCAGTGTCATAAAAATATATGACACTGTTCTTCCTGGGGGTCCAGGAGAGTGGAGAGTTGCAAACGTGGATTATGTCTTGCAAGAGGACATAATTAGTGCCATACTTGGATTCGAACCCTCAACCCGTGGATTGGGAGTCAAGTGAAAGACACACGACACCTCCATAACCGGTGGTTAAACCGCCGAACTCCCCCTATAGATCCGCCCCATGAGGCGCAGTAAAATAGTTTCAAGTCACTGGAGCTTCCGGGGGTTGGGAATAATCGAATTCATGATGATTGAGTCCCTATTGTGGTCAATATACAATGTCATCTAATACCCAGAGGTTTAGGTTTTGTGGCCCAAGGTGATAAGTCTCGGACAGTGAACCATTAAGGTAAGGGGTTCGAACCATTGTTTCTAATGCCTTTTGGCAAGACATTAATCTACATTTACCGCACTCCATCCATGCAGGTGAGGTAAATGGGTACCTGTTAATTAATTCCTTAAATTGCTCGAGCGCTGCAATAATAATGGTGTGGCAATATTGGTTATTATTATCGACCCATTCCCATCTTAATTAACTAAGCAGCAAATTAAACAGAATTATGCCTACATCTGGACATGGTGACAGATCACATGGAGTTGTTTCATATTATTATGTGGTTGTCTTTATCTTTTACGATATTACAATGTCATGACATCCCTGTTTATAATAAATATCAGTCTATCTTCCGACATTATTTTCTCTTTATCAGAAACATATCATCTTGATTGTGTGTTATCCCCGAACTCGAGTAGGCCAAATCGACAATCTCTTCTAGGAAATGTGTATCCCCATCAGTAGGCCCTACTTTGATTCGCACTCAATATTAGCCACTAGGTATTAGGCCCTATTTCTCCAAAATTACATGCAACTTTGAGAACCTGCTTCTCTTTCAACCAAATAATATTTATTATCGATTCAAGGCGTAAGTAGGACCATGATGTAAGTCTACAATACAAAGTTTGATTGAGAAATAGACTCACCGGGTTTGCTGGCAAAATAAAAACACTGAATTACTTTTTCTGCAAAGCAGTAACAAGTTTCTCACCATCGAGTGTACAGTAATTATAGTCAAGTTTCCGATCAACTTACTCTGATTTTTATGTATCCATTAAATTGTCCCAAGGAATTGAAATGTTAATCTCTTTCTTCTGCTCGCATTCATACTTCTTTTGTAGCTTATAACCTTCTGACTCAATAGTTTTTTTTACAACTTCAGGTACACTAAGGCAAATAATGGTTCAACAAAAGATGGAGACCACAATTACTGTACGACAATTTCACAAGAGAAATCAATCTTGCACCTTGCTTTTTAAAAATAATAATAGTACTCCGAAACCAAGAAAATTCATTTCAATTCTGATGTGCAATAAAAGTATATTAGAAAGGGGGCAAAGCATGAGGATCAATCATCGTTATAAAGAAAGGGGGCATGGGAACTTAAATTCCTCGAGGATAGAATATCAAGAAAAGGGAACTAAAACGTGGGGGTTGGGGGCCGAGGGGGGGGGGGGGGGTGTTGAAGGACATCTACATAATATTAATAGAATTAATGGCTGATTGGAATCCCTCTAACCCCTCCTGGATCATAGTACGGATCTCAAAATAGATAGCCCGCCTGGATAGCTCGCCTTTGAAAATGAAAGCAGTGTGATTTAGATGGTCAGTTGATTACAAAAGGGTGTTTTCTTGAACGAAGATATTAAATTGCACTCGATCTCTCTCCTAATAATAGTACGATGAAAAGCGGTTGAGGGGGGGGGGGGGGGCAGGCGGGTACACGGGGGGGGGGGGGTAAACCCCCCTTGGTATTTTCTGTGTGTAACCCCCCCCCCTAAACCCCCCCTTTAGATTTTGTTGTTGTAAGTTTTACTAAAAAAAAAAAAAAAAAATTCCCATGGCTGACCTAAAAAAGCTGACCTTACCCTCCCCCCAACGGAGCAAAATGTCAATTTTTCAAATTTCGAGACCAAAAAAAAAAAGTGTCCTCTTAGGCTCTTACCCCCCCCCCCCCCCCCCCCCCCCCCCCCCCCCGCTTATTCAGCGGCTGGCTGAGTCCTTGCGAAAATTTCGGCCCGATTTATAAATGTTAAACCCCCCCCCACCCCCCCTTGAAAAAATCCTGCGTACGCGCCTGAGGGGGGGGGGGGGGGTATCAGAAGCGGGCAAGCGGCCTGAATTGATTAGGGTTTTAACAAATTTTTCAGGTAACACATTTTTCATCTCTGAAGAAACTCTATTTTCATCCCAGATTAGACATGTTCTTACATTGTCTTACAACCCTAACACCCCCCCCCCCCCCCACTCCCATGGCTTGAAGCCAACTCCGGTCCCTCGCCCCACCCTAGTAGGCCTACAGGCCCAATCGCGATCGACTCGATCCGATGATTAAATTGCGCGTGCGCTTCTTTTTTGTTGTCAATTTAATTTTCAGCGAACACACATGCGAAGATCAGCGAAGAACACATTTCTACCAAAGTGACATTGATTTAGTAAGTTTACCTAGTGTTTCAAGCTTTCAGAGTATAACATTCAACTGATTAGGCTATTTAAATTGTTATGCTGTTTTGAAATCATGTTATTTAATGGACAAAATGTAGTAAAGTGATTTTAATGTCGGATTCTTAATGACATGACTGAGTTAAGTAGTCCCACACGTTGAAAATTGAGTTTATGAATATGATGTCTGCTGATGGCTGATGAAGCTTTGGTGCATGGTGTCGCAAGCACACATAGCTGCATTACTATCCTGACTGTTTATTAAAAGCTGTGCTATTGATTCTCAACATTTCAGACACCACTGTACAAAACTCAACTGATTTCACTTAAAATCGGTACTTTAATAAGCGAGTTCGTAATTCAATTGCACACTGCGCATGCGCCAAAATCGGGAACGAACTTTTCCAAAGGTCACATGAACATAAAGTATAAACAGTAGGAGCGCTGGTCCGAGATTGAGGATCGTCCTCATAAACGAGGATATCCTCATAAACGCTGACAAAATGCGTCCTCAAAAACGAGCATGGTCTGCATTTTCGCGGACGTTTTTTTATCATCGGCGCTCTGCGGGCTGGCGATGCCAAAAATGGATTCCCTGGGGGGAAATAACCCTAGTTCATTGTCTACTTTTATGGGTTGTCCGTCTTCCCAAGGATTTATTATTTTATTGCTCATAATGTGAAGGTCTCTGTACAAAGTCAATGTAATTAATCAAGAAAAATCATTGCGGTATCTGTTTTTTGCATCGCCTATGTGCCGATCAAAAATATGAAACGTCTGCAAAAATGCAGACGCAGACGATCCTTATTTTTGAGGACGCATCGGTCCGCGTTTACTGAGACGATCCTCGTTTATGAAGACAATCCTCATTCTCGAACCAGCGCCCCTACTGATAAAGAGAGCTGAGAGAGGAACTGTAATTTGTTTGTGTGCTGGCCTATCTGTTGTGAATTATCACATCTGACACATCAGTCACCGAAAATCATTTCTGAATTTTGGAATTGGTTCTTTATAAACTTTACTTGTCATCTGATCATCGGTAAAGTATTATCGGCATTATCGTGATTCATCATCCAAGTCCCCAGGGACTCGGATCCACATGCCACAGACACTTTTTAGTCTGAAAAAACATTTCCTAAGACAAATTTAAATTATAACTTTCATTAAACTTTGTTTTAAATGATATTACCAATTTATCTAGTAGGGCTATTAAGAGAAACAGTATAAAACTGTCTTTATATTCTTTGTGGTGCAGGTCCCCTTGCGTGTTATCTTCATATTTCCCAGTGCCGGATCCAGCCGGCGGCAAGAAGGCGGGGGGGGGGGGGGGGGGGGGGGGGGGGGGTTGGGGGCCTTATTCGTGAGAAAATATTTAGCGGCGAATTGGCCAGCCGGTGAATTAGCTGGGGGGGGGGGGGGTGGGGGTAAGAGCACTTTTTTTTTGTCCAATTTTTCAGGAAATATTTAGCGGCGACTCAGCCAGCCGGTGAACAAGCAAGTTTGTTTAATTTTTTTAATTTGATTTTGATTTTCTTTTGCCCCTCCCCCATGGATCTGCGCTTGCTCTTGTACACGTCATGTGATTCCTGACTGAACTAAAGGTTTATAATTATGATTGCAGCATGAGCTAAGTCCAGCATTTTGTGTGCCAATGCCAAAATTTATTGCAATGGTATGTTAATTGATAATGTAGACATTTTAAATTTCTGTTCGAATTCTGTGATTTGTAAGTTCTACTTTTGTTTTTAGCGCTCCTAAATAAGCGATAATATCAGTCGACGTAATAGTGGCGATTCAAAGTTTCAAAATTCAATCAAAATTGTCTAGGTGAGTGCAAATATAAAAATACTTCTTTGTTATTCAATGATTATTTTTAATGATTCTTAAAACATAAATACAAAAATTAACAAACATATTGAAAACAAGCAATCCAAATCGAAACAAAATGAATTAAGTTACAACATTTCAGAAAAAAGAAAAGAAACAAAAACAACACAACGGACTAGTTCAATGATTAAATTATTATAGCGCCAAAACAAAAGAGTAAATGAAGAATCTGATGGCGCATTAAAAAAAAATTAGGTAAAGACAGTATTCCAGAAAGCCGCACCATCAAATGAAAAAACTTTGTTTCCCCATCTGGGTTTTATTTTGGGTAAAATTAATCCTGCGTTTTGTGCACTGCGTGTTCTAATGTTATGTACAGATTGGTTTTTTGAAACATTTGTAAAATATAGACAGGAGTTTGATTTTCAAAAACAGAATAAATCATTTTACATTTGAAATAATTCCACCTACTTTGAATACTTACCCACTTGAGTTTATTCAAATTTTCTTGAGTTGGGGTTCTTACATTGGCCCCCAGGATTACTCTGACCATTTTCTTGTGTTGTTTAATGATTACATCTCGGACATTTTGTGAACAATTAGACCATGTATTACAACAATATTCAAATAAAGGTAAAATTAATGCATTGGCAAGAAGCTTCAGTCCCTCCAAAGGTAGGTATCTTTTTGAACGACCAAGTAATGCTATCCTTGACCCTATCTTTTTACTTGTTTTTGTCACATGTTCTTTCCAGCTCAATGTTGGATCTAGCCAGACTCCTAGATATAAACCTGAGAGATTTGGTGTCGCTCGAGTTAAATGCAAATAGATTTTTCAAGTTTAGCCAATTTCATTTGTGAACCAAATAACATAAATGCAGTTTTTTTGTGGTTTAATGCCAGATTTTTTTGTTTTACCCACTCATAAACTAGTTTTAAATCAAAGTTCAAGGCCGATTCAATGTCCTCACTTTTTTTACTACTAAAAAACAGTACAGCATCGTCTGCATATCACTTGACTTGGCATTTGGATACTACCTTAAGCTCTCCATTAACATAAAAAAAAGACGATCATGGGGGACCAACAGGCACCGCTTAGGCATTGTTTCCTATATAGAGGGAGCAAGTAGCTACAAGTAGTGCAGTGGGGCTTTAAATATTTTGATGTGTACATGAATAAGATGGAATAAGAAATGGTTTTAAATTTTATTCGTCTTTTTCATTTGACAGTATCTTGTAAAGCTTCTGAAGGAGACTCATTCACCATGGGTAGACGTCGTGCTAAGAAGAAGCCTCCCCAGAAGAAGAAGATGCTTGGAACACTGGAGACTCAATTCACATGCCCATTCTGTAACCATGAAAAATCCTGTGATGTTAAAATGTGAGTAACTTACCTCGTCTACACCAGCAATGGGAGTTTCATATATTTTTATTTTCGGATGACTGAATGACATAATTTTGGAAGTGTACCCAGGTACTGATGTTATCAGTCTTTAAAAAAAAATTTAAAAAAAATAAAAATGTAGTATTTAGCCCCATAAAATACATATTGTTAATGAAACTTTTTTCTCATTTCACAATTTCATTTAGTCATGACAGGCTTTAGGTACATAGCACTAAAATACAATGATATTTTTATGAGTAAGAAATTTCATTAAAAGGCCTTCAAAGTGACTTCAAACCCATCATTACACAATGCGTTTAACTTAGTAATGTCCGTAAAAAGCAGATAAAAGCAATTTAATCCTTACGAGGATGACAGAAATTGATTCCAGGGAGGTAATATGACTTACATGTACGTACATCAAATGTATTGGCTTCTACTTCTACACAACAAGAGAAAAGAATACATAGCTATCTGGCAAGGATGACAAATTCTTAAGATATTTCCACTGTTTAATGTGAATACATATTTGTGTAGAATACATTTTGTGTCCGTTGTTTTTATTATGTACAGTCAAATCTGCTTTATTGACCACCTGTATAGAAAGACCACCTGTCTACAAAGACCACATATTTTGTTTCCCTTGAAAATGGTTTCTTATTGAAACATGCACTAAAGGAACTTGTACATAAAGACCTCCTGCCTATAAAGACCACTTTTCTTGTCTCCCTTGGGTGGTCTTACAGACAGGTTTCACTGTATTTGCATATCTGTATAATTGGTATCACTAATCTACACAAACATGGCAAGGAATGATAAAATACCAAAAGTTTATAAAGAGCTGTTATGGATTTTAAAATTTGTTTTATTTCTTGCAGGGATCGAACTCGGAACGTTGGAGTGATATCATGTCGTGTTTGTTTAGAAGATTTCCAGACAAGTATTACCTGTATCCTTTACAAGAATGATGTTTCTTAAAATATGCATTTTCTTTTCATAACCAAGTTCTGAACCTTTTGATGAATGTATTTGTAGGGACTTATCAATTTTTTCACCTCTTTACCTCTTGTATACAAAACAAGTGTGAAGCGCTTATCAGGGATTTGCAAGCCATAAAAAACTCTAGCAGCAAGATGAGTTTATGAAAGTATGTATACAAGTTTCAGATTCCTTTATGAGTAAGATTTGTAGCCCTTATTTTGTACACAACAAATGGGGTGAATAAAACACTACCAGTTGCAAAATTCAAATTTGAAATGAAAATGACTGCAATTTTGCTAATAATGATTATTTTGCCACCATAAAATTTTAGAGTTTTCAATTATGATTTATACACCACTTTTGCCTTTTACAAGTCCTGCTGAGATTTCACCTTTCAAATTCCTGCAGTCCCTTTAAAATTTCACAACATATGAATAGAGTCATACCCTCTCTTTGCACTCTGCTTTTCTCCTGCCTTTGCGTGCGTCAGATAGATTTAGATATTCTGTACAGTGTACACACTTTTATACCAGGTACAAAGAAACCTGCTTCAGTGACCATCTGTACAGAAAGACTGTCCATAAAAAAGTATTTCTCATTGAAAACTACAAAAGTAACTTTTACATATTATTAGACTACCTGTTTATAAAGATCACATTTGTCTTCCTGGAGTAGTCTTTATATACAGGGTTCACTGTATTCTACTTAACTACTTAAAATCTACTCCCATATTTATCCCAAGTATAAAATTCCACTATCTATCTCCAGGTTCGGAGGTTGACAGCAAGATATTCATGTACACACTACATTCACAGTCACACCAATGAGACCGACATCAGACCGATAACAGACCTACATGTATATAATAATAATAATAATAATAATAATAGCCTAATAGTCCACTCCAAATTTTATTAAACCGAAACGGAAATTCTTTTTGCCCAATTGATCGTGAGCCCGGCAGCCACTGAGCAGCGCCAGATCGACGTTGCTCTATCCCTTATTGTTGAACGCCAAACAGGGTAGCAACAACTCCCATCTTTTAACGTCTTTTGGTATGACGCGGCCGGGGGTTCGAACCCACGACCTCACGGTTGTGAGGCGGACGCTCTACTGACTGAGCCATCACATCCTATGGTAAAGAATCGGTCGGTTTCGTGTCTATTGGGAGCCGGTCTGACTGTGTGACTGAGGCATTGCTTGGATGTCATTAACTCGGTCATTATGAATGTAGAATATTGAGAGACGGGGTATTAGTAATGGGCATTTGACAAGGCTGCAATGAATCGAGATAATGAGATATATCCTGACATACATTCATTGTGTCTACCTGACTCAGGCCTGTGGTTGATGGAAGACACATCAGCTGGCGTAATATCAAATACCTAGGGTATGCCTGCATACAAGCCCCCCCCCCCCCCTCCACGCTTCATACTTCTGTACTTCCCAAATGTTGCCCCCCCCCCCCCCTCTCTCTATCTTATCTTGTTTAGGAAGTTTTTGGTTGTAGATTTTCATTCATTGTGTCTACCTGACTCAGGCCTGTAGATAATGGAATAAAGACATCGGCTGGGGCAATGTCAAATACCTAGGGTCTGCCTGCATACAAGCCCCCCCCCCTCCACTCTACACTTCTGTACTGCCCAAACATTCCCCCCCCCCTCTCTCTCTCTTTCTTATCTTGTTTAGGAAGTTGTTGGTTGTAGATTTTCATTCATTGTGTCTACCTGACTCAACTGGCGCAATTTCAAATACCTAGGGTCTGCATACAAGCCCCCCCCCCCCACCTCTACTCTTCTGTACTACCCAAACGTCCCCCCCCCTCTCTCTCTTTCTCATCTTGTTTAGGAAGTTGTTGGTTTTAGATTTTATTCATTATGTCTACCTGACTCAGGCCTGTAGATGTTGGAGAAGAAAAACTTCAGCTAGCGCAATGTCAAATACCTAGGGTCTGCATACAATCCTACCAGCCTCCTGTACTCCTCAAATGCCTGTCTTTGTCTGTTTGTCCGTCTGTCCCCTCTCCCCCTCTTTCACCCTCTTCTCCCGTTCTTTGCCCCTTCTCCCCTCTTTCCCCTCTCTCCAAGCTAATGGAAAATCCTCTTTCTCTATACAATTCTCTTTCTACAGTACATCTCCAATATAGATAGTTTCCTTTTCTCTGTGTCATGGTATTTAGTAGATACATGTACCTCTGTTAATCTCCCTTTTTTGCCAGTCTTTCTCTCTGTCTCTGTCTCTGTCTCTCTGTCTTTTTCCTGTCTGTCTGTCTGTCTGTCTGTCTCTGTCTGTCTGTCTGTCTGTCTCTCTTTCCTGTCTCTTCTGTCTGTCTGTCTGTCTGTCTCTCCCTCCTTCTTTCTGTGTCTACACCTTTTTTTTCACTCCATGTGCCTTGTATCATTGCCATTTCTTACTAAATTAAATGTTGATGACCGAGTTGTGTTTGTTGTTGCATGTTTGTTTTTAAATCTTGTATACAAGAGCACGTTCACACGTAACTGAATTCCTTGACTTGCTGCCTACTCAGACCTATCTGAACCTGTGGATGTATACAGCGACTGGATAGATGCATGTGAACAAGCGAATGCCTAGCGAACGTGACGTCACCCCCAACCCCTCCCCACGGCCATACCTCACATACTTGTACCTCAGTTCCCCCGGCCCATATTGTGGACACTTTCTAACATGTCTCTGATCGTACATGTACCTGATTTTCTTACAATTGGGAAAGTGTAAATCTTCACAATCTACCGTGCAAATACATAGCGGACATACTTGTGAACCCATATATTCATGAGAGAATAGGCCTACTTTGATTTGTGGACTGAACATCAATTCAATTAAAAAGTTTGATCAAGTTATAATGTGGAATGGCTTATTCACAGGGTAAGAAATGGAAATGTCAAAGGTGAATTAGAACTCCTGGGGATGCAATCTAAAGCCATGAAAAATGAAGTTTTTTTTAAAATAATTTTTTACTATTGTTTATTTTATTTTATGTAAGCTAGTTCATTATACTAGGGAAATTGGACATAAAGTGACAATATACATAAGAAGATGAATACTATGACATAATTTTTAATTTCTGTAGGAAGATGAACTGTGAAGATATGACCTTTATGAAATTTCAAGTTTGCATACTCATATCATGTACATGTAGAACATTATTTGATCATGGACTGTATTTTCATTGAGCTATATGTATTCATTGCCTGGGCTCTGTTGCATAAGCCCAAAGTAATCACTAAATTCAGGAGGCTTAAGTTGTAAAAGATATGGATTAATTTGGTATTACATCAGTATTACTGGACCAAGACTTATAAACTATTTCTGTGCATCCTTTCCAATCCCTACTTCATAGTAATGAATAATCATATTCTTTTATTAAAGGAAGGGTATTTTACTGACATCGTCGCTACCACTGCTGTAATGTATTTTCAATTGCCCTATCTTTTAGTGAAGATGTTCATAGAGTGATTTCCGGTTTCTATACCCAAGCATCATCATGCGCGTGTCATCAGTTGATGATGCATTGTGGGACGTGGTTGTTGACACATGGGGACATTGTGAGCAGCAGATGGCAGTATACATAAATCCAAAGTAGTGTCAGTAGAATACCTTGCCTTTTTTTAAGTGCCATTCTGCAACACTTTGTCTGCTATGGATGGAAATCCTATACTATAATTGTTTCGACATATTTTGTACCATCACATCGTACCTGTGGCAAAAGTCGACCGTAGCAGTCCAATATTTGTTTCATTAGCCGACCAAGACGAGTAAAAAGTTTACTTTGTGATTGACCTTTTTCATTGTCCTTTTTTTGTGGGGGTGACCTTTCTATTTGTGTAAGTGCTTGTCAACTATCAAGAGTTCAAATTTTGTTATTCTTAATTTGTACTATTTTAACAGTCAACATTCATGTACAGGTTGCGTTTCAATGCAGTTGAAGTTGAAAAGATTTAATTTCTTAATATGATTGTGCCCTGTAAATGTATTTCATTGGTACTTGTGAATAATTTATCATGCAACCAAAATTGATGAAGAAATGACGGATGTCACAAATCAATTGCCAAGATTCATCTTTTTGTTCAGACGATCTCTTACAAAAGTAAGCTTCCAATTTCTGGGTAGTTATAAAGGAAGTTTGAGAAAATTGAAGGAATTGCAATATTGCTCTCACGGACTTATAACAAAAGAAAACAGTTTCTCTTTGCAGGGCGTCATTTAAAGGTGAATTGTTTTTAAAGGCTGCACATGTGTAAATATGTAAATATTCTATTTTAAGTACGATCGTTTATTCTCTTTAATGAGATATTGTTTCTCAACCATATTTAATTTGTTTCTAGAGAACATGTATGTGGGAATATGATCCTCATAATTCATATATTTTCTTCAATGAAAAAAATCTTGAAAGTGTAAATTTATCTTAAATTCAATGAGTATTGATGTTCATTTTAATAATTTTCTTTGGTTACATGCACAGATGGTGATAGTCTGCTTGCAAGCATAATTTCAGACAAATGCTTTGCTTACGAGCTGTCAGGAAAAGCATATTTTGTTTTTGTTATCTCTTTATTGAACTCAAACATCATTAAAATCAGTGAGAAATAATTAAATGTACATTTGTTAGTATGTATGTTCTTATTGTTCCCCTCTTTTTTGTTTTGTTCTTGGCAGGCTTTTTAAGAGGGAAATGGGAGGACAAGGGAGGAGGGGAGAGAAGAGAGAGAGAGAAGGAGAGAGAAGAGAGAAGAAAGAGGGAGGAGAGATAGAGAAAGGAGAGAGAGGGAGAGAGAATAAAGAGGGAGGAGGGAGAGAGAGAGAGAGAGGAGGGAGAGAGAAGAGAGAAGAAAGAGGGAGGAGAGATAGAGAAAGGAGAGAGAGGGAGAGAGAATAAAGAGGGAGGAGGAGGAGAGAGAGAGAGAGAGAGAGAGAGAGAGGAGGGAGAGAGAAGAAAGATAGTAGAAAGAGGGATGAGAGATAGAGAAAGGAAAGGAGAGGTAGAGATAGGAAAGAAAGAGGGAGGAGAGATAGAAAGAGGAAAGAGAGAAGAGAGGGGAGAGAAAAGAAAGAGGGGAGAGAGAAAAAAGAGGGGAGAGAGAAAAAAGAGGGGAGAGAGAAGAAAGAGGGAGGAGATATAGAGAAATTAAAGGGAGGAGGATGGAGAGAAGGAACAATCGTCCCTATAGAATCGCTTGGCATCTATCTCAAAAATTAAAATCAGCATGGTCCCAAAATAATAAATGGACAGATGTATTTAAAAAAGTACCTGTACATTATTTAGCTCAATGTAGAAATAAATACTGGATTTGTCCCTGATTTGTCAGATAATTAGAGAATTTGCACAAACTTTTCCTTCGGTAAAGGATGTTGGCCTTAAAAAACACACCCCAAAACCCCAGAGTGAAACGATGTATAGCACACAAGACAGCAGATGCACTCATTCAACAAAGCAATAATGACATGTCTTCATAGTACATTTATTTGTTCATCCCTAATAATCTCATGATTTACATAATTGCCTGAAGTCACCCACTATCAGGACATGAACAAAGGAAGTTCTACTGAAATTTTAGTCAATAATAAACATACATGTACTATATAGGAACATTTCAAGGAGTTTGATGATTAAGAAAACATTTGTGTTAAGTAAATAAAAGATCTGCCCTTAACTCTTCTATAACAATTATAGAGTTAAGGCTTTGAGGACAATGCATGACGATGTCCACACAATCAACATAATCAACAAATATAAATTATTTTGACCATTTCTGATTAAATAGGTGATGTTTACAAAGGAATTCAATACAATATGTAGAGCAGCAACATAAACATAAAATTATAATTTGAAGAGTTTTATATTTCATGTCATTTTCCTAATAATTGAACCTAGATACTACAGACTTGGGGGAAAAAAAAGGTGACATATATATTTTTCATGAACATGCCCAAAAGAATATAATAGTACTTACTAGATCTGAAATTATAAGATAGATGTTATTAACCAGCTTACAAAAAGTTACTGGTATACCACATGTAATAAATAATCAAGTTATAGGAAATCTTGAGTTCTAGTAATGGAGGAAATAACATTCTTACAGAAAGAAACAAAACTTCCATTGAATGTTCATGAGTTAAAATATATGATTTCTGCCACATTAATAGTTAAGTATTGAACAATGAAATATAAAGGAACATGTAGTCCTATATATATATGTGTGTTCTCTTTACTAGTGAATGTGATTATCAACAATATGTTTTTAGTTGAAATTTGATGGTCAAAAGAAACATTTCCTACACAATTTAGGCTAGTTACTGGGTACTCTAGATTCGAAGCTGCATTACCAGAACTCAAGATTAGCATCAGTGATTACATAAATCCTGTTTTTCATAACAGATATATTCTACTTTAATAATTGGTCGTGTATCACATGCACGTATGACCCATTCGAAATGAGTGAAGAATACAATAAAGTTAGGTGCAAATACAGAGTGATTGACAACTCACATACAAGAAGATGTTATCCTATGTCCAGACAGGAAATGAAGAATTTTCCACACAAAAAGTAAGATCTCAAAAATAGCCTCACAAGCCAAGAACAGAATGACATGTATTAAAAACTATAATGCTAGAATAGAATATGAACTAGATTCTAGAACGAGGATGAGTACTCAAATACATGTAGGGCACAAATCGTTTCTCACTTTCAACAATCTTTGGCTCCAACATCACCTCACTACATACCAATGATATTCTTTATTCCCTAGTCCCAGATACTGAATTTTCTGTTATACTCATCATGAGCATCAATACTGCACAATAATGAAATTGTGAAGGAGAAAATTCATATTTTTGGTTGATCCTTTAATCTAAGTTTAACTAGAATATAGAATATAATAATTATTTTTCAATATCCTTTAATCTAAGGTAAATTTGTCTGCTGCACCAAGGTGACATATAGGTACTGAATGAATGAAGGAAAGAGAGTGACTCCTTTCTATAAGAGCCAGTTGTTCAAAATATGCCTAGAATTTAAAATTTCAACAAAAAATCAAAGTGAGTCAGATTCGCATACTGTACAAAATCTGTACACTATATTATATCAATTTCGCTATTGCAAATTTACAACCTGGAAATTTTCACTAGAAGAGTTTTTCATAATCACATTACTTTTTCAATTTCCCACTACCGGTATGCAAGACATGTGTGTTATGTTTTGCATTTCCATAAATGATTGCATTGGATATGGAATAAATCTTTAGTAATAAGCATTCCCATTTTCTCCATTTCATAATGGACATTGCAACTAGCAATATAAGCACATCCATAATTTCAATTCAAAAGGACAAAATTTATAACATCTTCTGGTGAAAGCCAGAAGGGCGCTAACTCAATTTTTTTTCCATAGAGTTAATGCCCTTCTGGCTCTCCAGATATGACATTATACGACATGTGAGTATGCACATTAACTACATAGGCAGACCAGTCTGCTCCCAGAAGGTGTCACGCACCCACAGGGCCCGGTTTCATAAAACTGTTTATCGAAAATAAGTTATAATAACTGTTACAAGCTACTGAAATTCTGGTCTCTGATTGGCTGAGAGCTAATTTTTCATAGAATCTTAGCATTTGTGATTGATATCAAGTTTTATGAAACAGGGCCAGGATCAGTAAGCTGTCCTACTACAGTGTATGTCAGCTCTTTTCTTATTGGTTGATGGTGATGTCATGATGACTTGAGTGAGTGAGAGGACTGTTTTGATTGGTGGGATTGGGGGTTACTGCACTCTGACTTGGTAGTCTCCATTCTGTGTGATGTATCTCACCCATGGTAGTGCCTGGTAACCACTCTTCTCAATGATCTTCAAGTACCGAACCTGAAAGATAAAAATGACATCAAAATAAACACTTGCATTTTTTTTGTGTATACAAGGTTTTGATTTAGCATGAAGAGTTCTCTACAAAATGGGGTTCACTGATATCCATTTTCTGCATTTTAAAACAAGTTAACAATGGCAGAAATTCCAAGATTTAATATAGAATGTAAATATACACACCTAAGGTCTGAAAATATCTTCTCCAAATAAAGATGATTTCATGTAACCATAGTTTTCATAGAAATATATATATTTTTTCAATAAAATGCTTATATTAACATATTGGCTGTATTGTTAAGTAAAGTGCCTATAAGTCCACACAAGTGTAAAAATGTTGTAATCTAAACAAATTTCTAATTAAATTTGATTAACACATGTACATTTAGAATAGACATATTCCCATGGCATGACACATACATTTTTGCTCCATTATCTGGTACAATTTAATGGCTTTGATTAAAAATATCTTGAGCTTATACCAATAAAATATGAGAAATTATCTTGAAAAGGTTGTGATTGGTTGTGAAAGGCTGTAATCTAAGATAGCTTACCTGAATGCCTGATGTTGTGAAGTAAGGTATCTCAAACTTGACGCTGATTGGAGGTCTACCCTCTGCCTCCTCTGCTTGTACACTGGGCAGGTTGAAGTGAGCCCTCATTAGAAATTCCTTGCCTCCCTAATACACAGGGAAACAAACAACAGAAGAATCCAATGAATTCATGATTTACTTCATGTTCTCACAATTGTCTAATTATCCATTCAGTCCCACTTGTACTATTACAAGTAATATATAAATGCCTCAGCTGTGGCACTGTATTCAAACAATTACATTTTCAATCTACCACAAACTTCTTGACTTTGAATTTTTACTGCCCCACTAATGAGGTCAAGCAAAGTGTTATTGATCGATGATTATTTTCCCTTGTCATGAACATTTGTTCTTTTCATGAAGTTTTACACAAAGGAACTAAATGTGACACAATTTAAATGTGGCAATTGAAAACGAATCAGTCTCTGTCATGAAAATTTGCCTCTTTCATACAGATTTACACATCGGAACTAAATGTGATACCATTCAAAAACGAAAATCAGTCTTAGTCATATAAATTTGCTCTTTTCATATAGCTTAGATTAAAACATAGGAACTAAATGTGACAAAATATAAATGTCACAATTTGAAAACGAACACCAGCCTTTGTCAAAAAATATTGCTATTTTCATGTAGTTTACACATGGGAAATAAATGTAACACAATTTAAATGTCACGTTTTGAAATTGAATCAGTCTCTTTTATGGAAAATCTAATCATTTCATCTAGAATTGCACATTGGAATGAAATGGGATGCAATTAAATGTCACAATTTGGATAAGAAAGTCGGTCCTAATGATGCACTCACCGGGAAAGACTTGATATGCCAAACCACAGCATTCTTCTCAGGCATGTACTTGGCAAAGCCCACCGTCGTCTTGAACTTGGGCGAGTCTGCATCGCTAGGGACCGGAATGATGACGTCCACATTGTTTGCCGTCGATCTCCTCTTGAACTGGCTCTTTGCTTTGATCATGTACTCCACTCGAGAATGAGAGTGACGCTCAATGACCGACTCGATCCAGATAAGAGGTTTGACCTGTAGAGGTTAATAGTTGGGGTGAATGATTGAGAGCAAGATTCAGATTGAGGTATCATTATTGTCATCATCCTCTTCCTGATCAACATCATCATCATCAATATCATCATCGT